AACACCAAATTTTCATTTTATTCTCATCGATTCAGAGCCATTTGCTCATGCAGCATGTTTGTGAGACGTGTCTCCTAGATGGAGACTCTACAAATGCAGCCAGACGATATACGCCGAAATGCGGACAACGATGCCGTGACGAGCGTTTGTCCTCTGAAGACGATCGACTTCTCGCGATGAATGGTGACGGTCCACCAAATGAGTTAGTCACCTAAATCTCCACATTAGATCAGTTCACGATAGTCCCTCAAAGCGTGGGCAGTATCGTTGATCAGTGGGCAAAATAAGCCTCCGGATTGGGCGATTCTGGTGTGACTGAACAGAGATATGGATGAACTGATTGGGATTTTAGCTGAAATGATCGCTCCAATAAGAAATATCAGCATGATCCACGTTCAGATAAGATCCATAAGATCCTTCTACGATCCACTGCTCCAAATCTCATTTTCCGTCTAATATCGAGTAGTCGGTGTCCAGTGGCCGTTGTTCCAATAGAATTGATTTGAAGAAAGTGTATTCGATTCTTATTATACGATCAAACTTGGTGACTTAGCTGCTCGAGTTGCCTTCTACTTGGCTAGATTAAAATAAAGTCACCCTGTGAATATTGACAATAGCAAGATATAGGATATTATCCGAGAGGATAAAGTTTCTTTAAAATGTACTCGTTAATCGAAAAAACTATTAAGCAGTACCCGGCCTAACCCCCCAACTACTAAAGTAACAAAAATTACTTTTTATCAACGACTGCTTGCTTACTAGTTAGATCATCGGATCTTTCAACGCCTAACTAACAAATTTCTATGATAATCGCCACATTTCAAGGAGTTCCTCAGCAGATGAGGAAGGTGATGAGAACGATCAGGATGGCGTTTGTTACCCGTGCGATTCCGGTGCACGTGTATATCGGAATGGTGTGCGTAAAAGCTCAAGTGCTCATGCAAAACTTAGTTGTGGTATCTCCTCGAAGAAGCGTTCCATGCCAAAGTCTCGTCAGAAACCGAAGAATAGCTTTTCAGACAAGGTAGTTCCGGCATTTTTTCGGTTTTTTGATTGCTACTTCGATCTGAAGAAATAAGCTATTATCACGCATAATTTCTCGAACCTGTCGACGACGTGAAGTTGAATCAGCATGTCGAGCAAACTATACACCGAACTGAATAGTAGATGGTGTTTGCACTAAGTGTGATTATTCAGAGAACAGTGGGCAGTCTTCGAAAATGGATTGTTGTTATCAGTGTAAGGGATTTTGGACATCCGGTCAATCTGCCTAAGGACATTTAGCCATGGCGACAGCTTGCCTAAAAATAGTTTGCTTAACGGACAGTTTGTCTAAAGAACAGTTTGCCTATTAGGCGAAATATTCATTAGAAAACCGTAAGTTAGGCAAATTGTCCGTTAGACAAGTGTCCGTTAAGCAAATTGTCCGTTAGGCAAATGTCCGTTAGGTAAACTGTCCGTTAGACAAATGTCCGTTAGGTAAACTGTCCGTTAGGTAAATTGTCCGTTAGGCAAATTGTCCGTTAGACAAATGTCTGTTAGGCAAATTGTCCGTTAGGCAAACTGTCGTTAGGCTGAATGTCTTTAGGCAGATTGACCGATCACAGGGATTTTGCGATCTGCTTTTGTTGTTGTTCAGTTGTTTGTTTCTATGCGATCGAGTTGAAGGATGAGAAGTCGCCCGAAGAGGACGATTCAGAAGAAAGCGACAGTGATGCGGAATTTGCCGTGCATGCATGTCTCCGATCGCTGATCAAATCACGCTCGGCATTCTCTTTCAAGAACCACGATGCCGTTCTCAAGAGTCCCGCTGAAGCTGGAATCGACCCGCTGATTGCCTCATTCAAGGGTCAGTTATCACCTCCAGATGGTGTTGTCTTGATCTGGCTGGAAGTATGCCTTCTTCTGCAGTTCATGATCGCAAAAATAACAGAAAAGCATATTTTGCTATTCGTTTGGGGTGCACTCAAAGCGATAAATCCGCTAGCAGCTTGTTAGACTTGGTTCAGTTTCGACCAGCTCCGTCGAGATGTCTCTTAGAGTCCATCACTCCACTTTTCAGGCTTTGACTTGTCTAAAATGGTTATCTCTCGTGCTGATTCATTCCACGAAGAACTCGAACCACCCGTTGCGAATTTCGCTGGTGAGCTATTCGAGCGATGGCCTCCGCCTAGCAACCGTCAGAAACGGCTCCGTCCGCAACAACTAGGATTAAAGGTGGTGGCAACGGACGGTAATGAAACTGGAACCGAAATCACCGAACTCGACGATCCAGAAGCTGGGCTTGCACTGGATGATAAGGAACTTTCGGCAAGCGACGTGAGTTCCGATCAATGGCCACAAGATCTTTAAACTGATCTTGAAGCTTCTCCACAGTTATAAGCTTTTGTGGTGCTGACATTCATGAGGTTGCCACTGGGATTACATTGGGGCCCTTTGAAACTAATGGCTTAGCAAATGAAGTAATGAATTTGAAACCAGCTGGGCTCTGGCTGGAGCAGAAGAAGTTGATTACTATGCAGTTTTGTAAAATTCGTCAAAACCATGCCTTTCCATACGAAGAATAAAGGCATCAGTGTATCTGACCTTAGAGTTTTATCCAGTTTTATCCACTCATTACCCAAATTTATCCACTTTTATGTGAGATGTACGTACGTCTCTGTCGAATGAATCCAAATGACCTTAGAGTTTAGAGGGGGTATCACTAGAATTGTGTCTGAAGTGACTAGGAATAATTGCTTTCAAATCTCCTTAATCGATGTTGTTGTCTACATTTGAACATCTACAGCTGAGTGATGACTCAATGCTTGGCGGAGAGCGTTTAAAACCATCTCAGTCCTTGGGTCAGTGCTGGTCAGCACCAGCAAATATCATAATTCGTCAGCGATCGCAAGTAACTGGCGGCAACGAGACTGGAAATGTGGACTGTCCAAGTCCCGAATCACCTTTGAATTATTGTTGGTCCGCGCCCGAGTTCCTGGACGATACAGACGAAGAGGTAAAACATTTGAAACCTAGGATAACAAATTTGTAAATGAGCTTGCTCCCGTACAATTAGTGACGAATTTCGTGCCTCTTCTAACGTTTCTAACTGGTACTATATTGGGCTCTTCGACGGCTGGCCATGAGGTCTTCCAGTGGATCTAATTGCTGGATTATAGGACGCCGATGTCGATCGTGTTCATGGTGAAATGAAGGCTACCCTCAAGGGACTGTTCAAAAGATCTGCCTCCTATGAGTTCTTGAAGTAAGCCTTCTGATATTCGTGAATTATTTCTGCGGCTGTGACTGATAATCCGGCAATTTTCCTCATAGCAATGTGTCCCACTGTTCTTTGTCGTTAAAAAACTTCCCTTAAATTGACCATCATGTCTAGAGACCTTTTCGGTATCATTGCTATAAGTCGCTTGATTTTCTTGTTCCATTACTTAGTAGATTGATATTCGAGCATCAATCTAGTGCATACCTTCAGAACGTTGTATTCCGATTATGATGAGCCAAAACGACCGAATTTCTTGGATCTCGGCAATGAACTACCAAATGAAGCGGCTCTAAATGCTGTAAACTGCCAAGTAAACGCAGAAGATGAAGATGATCAACTGCCTGTGAACCATTTGGTGCCGTTGGCAACGAATGACAAATTTGGATCACTGGAACTTTATGGAGCAACTCCATCACCCCAACGGTGAGGACACTGCCATGATTTGGCAACACTTCATATGGTCCAATGACTCGAGAAAGCACCAGTATTGTTTGGGGCTTTCGTTAGGAAACTATGAAACAAATTGGTTGCTATCATCTCAATTTACGATTGATATCGCGGTAGTATCCCTAAAGAAATGAAAAATCTAGAATGAAACCTGTGATGATCTACTGCTGTCTATGCAAAAAGACCCGATTACCTTGTAGGTGCTCTAAGAACTGATATGACAACTGACTGACAGCTCAGTAGTCATGGACTCAGATGAATTCAAAGGTAAATTGGCCGATAATTTCACATATTCTATCTTCAGTGAAGACGACTGTGTTTTCCATGTGAATGATGGGTCGGATGAAGATGAAGACAAGGAATCTCTTAATTCCACAGATCCACCGGCAGGACAGAGGATTGGGAGCGAATCACCAATTGAATTCATTGATTCGGGGGATGAATCCGGCTTGGTTGCGGCCAATGAAACGACGACCGTGACTCAAACAAGCCACAGAACACGATCATGCGATACCAGTGAGGCAATAGATGAACGCAGCTTTGATGAGGGAGAGTATAAGCTGAACGATGTGTGGACTTCACATTCTACTGGACATTTGGATGAGAGAAACGGACGGAGAATTTGGTACGTACGTTGCGATTGTTTCAGACTGTTCTTTTGAGAGGTATGACAGTCGAAAAGAGAGAATCCATCGTTCTTTCAACTGCTGAACAGGATCCAGGACAGCTCACTGATCGATAACTGATCAGTTGATCGGCCAATTATTCTCAATGATCAATTGCAATCACTGTCCCGGGTTTTGTTTCAGCGAGTCAGCATACGATGCTGGTGCCGTGACAAATCCTGGAAGTCGTCCGGGATCANNNAGGTATGCTTGAAATTGAACATTGGCTTGAAACACTCCCACAATTGTCAGCCTTTTTCGTTAGGCAATGTATCGTCAGGCAAACTGTCGTTAGGCAAAATGTCTTTAGCAGGCAGATTGACTGGATATCGTGCAATACAGCCATTACAAAATCTTTAACAATGTGCTCTGAAGGCAGTCAATTCCGAAACAAATTATCAAACGATTATGCGAAGTTTTTCTTCATTAATGCAATGTAGATTGGTGCTTTCAGATGCTCTTCACCTGGCTGTCGTCAGTATGCATCGAAGCATGTGAGTTCAGTAACATCCTCAAATGGCACCGTATCAAGTGGTGCTGATGCAGAATTGCTCTACGAGGATGACGACGACATGGAAGCAGAATGGCTGAGCTTGAAGCATTCGGCTGAGAATGACCCAATTCTCGAAATGATTTTGAAGAATCAGCATGATCCAAGCGTTACGTTCGCAAGATCACCACAACCCGGTGAGGACCTCGCTGAATTTCCTAGCCAAGCGAGCGCCCTTCNCATTAAAAGATGTGGAAGGGCAGCAGGTGCTGGAAGGACAAGAAGAGCTGCCTGAGTGCAATACTAGAAGCAAGAGCAAAGTTGTTGATCCGCCGAATCAACCACAACCTGACGTACCGTTTGGTGGTGATGCCATATCATCAAATTCCAATTCTCACAGCGGCGAATGTGTACGCGATGAAAATTTTGGTGACGAAAAGCTACAGACGAGTGCACAAAGAGGGCAATTTGCTCGATCGACTGAAGACGACAGAGTGCATCAAGCAGGCCAGCAAGGCCTAAAAGAACACGATAAAAAACTTAATGAAGAAAAAACTCACTTACCCTTGCAAAGTACCAATGAATATGCACCAACAGCAACATCATCACCACCAACACCAGCAGCAGCAGCAGCATTGCCGAGCCACGCCTCAGCCAACATTCTAATGAGCTCGTCAAACATTCAGAGGAGCATAACAACAGAATGTGCTAAGCAAAATGATGACAGCGAAAAAGATGACAGACACTCGCACGTTCACTTGAACAAAAACCACACAAAACACTTGAATGAAGGCCAAGCCGACGACGGCAGTGCGGTGGCAACCCACGATAGCCGAGAGATTGACGAATGCTTGAGCCGGGAAAACTTAAACAGTGTGGCTGAGCCTAGTCCAGCAGCATCACTTGTCTCTGTTCTATCGGAGCAGAGCACTAATCTCTTGAAAGTGGACGACCACTCAATTGAAACACAGCAGCTTT